GCGCTGCACCGGAATCGCAGGGCCGTAGGTTGATTCCTACCAGAGGACCTTGTGCTGCATTTTTCGCAGTCGTTCCTGGTCAGGTCTTAAAATGTATATATATATATATATACTCACTTGGATTACAAACCCCAAGAACAGCGCATTCAAATATTTAGTGTTTAGTGTATTTCAAGCAGCCTTCTATAATTCTATCTTCGTGAAAAAATTCACCCCCTCTCTGACACGGTGATTACTTTGCCACGCGATATTTGTGCGGAATGTTTTGAAAGACTCGTAAGTAACATTTTACAGGGTGATAAAATGCTGCATTTCTTTTCTATTTTCATATTTCATTTTCTTGGAACTATTTCGACGAGATCGGCGATAAACAGCGGAGTAATTAAGTGGCGAATTTGGCCAAATACGTCCATTTGCAGGAGGTTGGTACATTTCAAATTATTATTTCGGTCACAAATTAAAAGATTAACTATTTCGCACCAAAGCAGTGATAATGTACATAAATAAGTACCAATTATGTTTCATCAAAAAGATTTAGGAAAAAAGGTAATGTAGGTCCACTGCTGTTTATCTGAAGTTGTATTAAAGCCACAAGTTGACGTTTGACTATGAGTATTGCACGGAAGAAACAATAAAATGTTCTTGTGAAATATCAGTGCTAGGCATTTCACACTTACCAATGACCACCCCTAAAAGCAGAATCTCTGAACCATATAAGCACCTCAGAATAGCCAAAGCTTTTATTGTTTGATTGATAGCACTATGGCGTAGCGTCGTTTTGGGTGTGGTCAGTTTCGGACGATTCGCCGGATTGGGGTTCGGGCAGCGTTACCATGTTGACCGTCATGGTCAACTTGCCCCAAAACAGTAGAGATTATCTTGCCTAAATGAAATGCACACAAACTCATATACAGGTCCTCGACTAAAGTACCCGTAGAGCGATGCACGTGTAAATCATGCTTCAGATGTAATTTGACCTTTAGAATCGATTTCCGACGTTTCAAGAGCATTAGGATGTAAACAGGCAATGTTTTGGCAAATCTAAAGTGTACTTCCGATCAAAAGATATCCCGCTGACTTCACTAATATCGCAAAAGACTGAAATAAAGAAATAAAAGATGAAAAACTGAGGCTACAACATGAAAATAACACTGTAAATAGTGCTTTTTGATTGTGAATCGAACAAGACTATTACGAAAACGATATCTTTGTTCGGCGAAAGGTATGTCTCAGTAATACATTGTTACATTAATTACTCAGGGTTATTGTGTAATCTAATGAAATATGATATTGCTTGCCCTCTAAAAGTCGTAAATCGCTATAATTTTGACATTTTACTAAATCTATCAATAGGAATTTTTCACTGAATCAAATGGTGTTATTTTTATCTACATAGCATTGCCTGAACCAAAGATATGAACCTCCAAAAAACCAGGTCGAACCAGACCTGGTTTAATTAGCACAAAAAGGAAAAGAGTAATGCTTTCACGTTGGTGTTACAGAATGTTAAGAACACAGGGAAAGCGTGTAAAACACGAGGCGATAGGCAAGTTGTTCTGTTTTCATTTCCTGGATGCAATTATGATATATTTTTCGTTTGCCGAAAATATATCAAGCAGTTTTTATCTGAAGCATTTATTAAGGTAGTCTACGTTCTTTTAATGAATTTGTTTAGTTTTTGTAGCTTTTAAATTTCGGAAATGCCATTTCATGCGTTTTCGGCAGAGTTTAACATAATTTTGAGTATTAATAAACGTCACGTAAAATACTAAACACAGTGAAAATTTTAACTATATTAATTGGTGGAATATTTTGGTAGAAGATTAAGTCTGACAGTTTTTGTCACATACAAATAACATATAAACCTTTTTTGTCACAAAAAGGGGCAACCAGTTGCCCCCGCGCTGTTAGGGCAACGCGGGCTGCTTCCCCCGTGGCTCCGGCGCCCCTGATTTTCCTTGTTGCATTCCTGTTGCTTTTAGAAGGTTTCTGTGGTAGTTTCAAATGCAGACTCGAAAACAGCTGTTGAAATGTCTTTGCCTTTTATGCCCGACGGCCCCTTGTGTCTTGTTCAGGTGTGCTTTTGCGCTTCGTTTCGTTCCGGCTTATTCTTTTGATTCACACTATCTGATAACTTGGACAAAACTATAATTTTGTTCACATTGCTTTGCCAAGAAATTGGAGACAAATGCGTTATAAATCACGCGAAAGAGCCAATCAAATTCGTATTGAACGATTAGTATATATTACGTCATGGTATCGCAGGGCTTTTGTTATTGTTTTTGTATCTTACCCATGCAATATCGATAAATGGCGATTAAAATACTTGTGGAATTGCACGCTCAAATACAAAATGTGGAATTGCACGCTCAATCTCTTTTCACGGAGTAAAACGTAATCATCAAGGATATCTATCTTCAAACTACTGCGCATTTGACAAAACTACAAAGGCACGGGTGAGTAAAAATAGGTCATGCAAATAATAAACAAGTAAGCATGTGATGTTGATTGTTGATTGTCGGCGACTCGTGTCATTTTGGCAAACTTCCAAACATCATATCACTATATCATCATCACTCGTCCATGATTACCTATACTACCAATTGAAATAGTTAATATACTTAAACTTAAAAGTACCTTAAAACGTCGAGAAATGAATCGAACGCTGTAATTGGACTTGGTTCGCTTTCAACGTTGGTTTCGCTGTTACTATCTTCACCGGGTTTTATAACTTTCACAAGCACAAGTCCGAGAACTGTCGCAACCACGGTGGTCATGAGATAGTACAGGAAGGTCCGCTTACCCAACTTCCCAGCCGAACACGTATCAATTTCTCCCAGAGCCACAACAATACTAGAGACTGTAAGCGGTATGATAATCATTCGTAGCATTCGAAGGAATAGCTCGCCGGGAAATTTGATGTACATAATAACTTTTTCGGTCGACGGATCTGTAGATTCTTGAACAGCGTCGTGTATCAGGATTCCAATCAGGAAACCGAGAATGACTGACACGACAATCGCAACTAACTGTACGTTTGCCAACAAGGCGTTGCGTATTTTTGAAACCCGACTGGTGGGCTGAGGTTCTTCAAAGTTAGCTTCAACATCAACGGCATCTCGATCTTTACCGACTTCTGCATTCCGTATTACAACCGACATGTTGTCACATCGGTATCCAAGGTATTTCTGCCTTCTGTGATTTCTGCGGTTTGTTTCTGTCAATTAAGGCAATTTATTATATGACAATGACGTGTTTTTACCAAATAAGGTCATGAGAACACGAGCAAATTTAGAACTGTTATGTTTGCGGTAGCTTTTAGCGGGCTTGCCGTTAGCATATACGGTAAAGGCTGGCGCTGCATGCAGAAAGTGAAACGCAGTCCGGGTCGGAGCGTGTTTTGTTAAACTCAGTTCCCCTGCCTTTTCTAACTCTCAAAAGGTTAGAGGAGGGTATGGGGTTGGTATCAGGTCATCTTATAAAAATTCAACTTTAACTACAGCCACTATATGGTCGGCAGTTTACCAAACAGCCGGCTGCTGGCTGTCTAGTCATGCACTTCGAATAATAAAGTAGGGCACAATACAACTCAATGAGGTTGCAGTAGACCTTAACGCACCCTTATATGCACCCAAAAGGGCCTGTTTATCTCATTCGCCAGGCTGGATGGGACAGAACATTTCACACTGAAATGTTTGTTATTTATTGCCTTTTATGCATCCCTTGATAAGCAAAGCCGGGGCCATTTGCAACACTTTTAATTTAATGGAGAGGCTCCTGATTTCAATGCAATGGGTTGCTATACTTGCTAAGCAATAGAATTTATTTACAGTGGGACCCTTTTTGAAAGATGTAGGCAGTACGTGGTGCTGAACTGGTTCTAGCTAAGTTTCGAGGGTGTCAACCTGTGAATGTTCGAGGGTGTCAACCTATGAATAGTTTGTAATTTTAGACCCTCTAAAATTTCATTGTCATTATATTTAACCCAATCTGAGCACCAGTGCTGTCTCCCATTGGGTAGGGATATTTCATCGTTGGGTAGGGTTAACACTAAGGGTCCCCAACAGCCACGGCCCAGAAAATTAGAAAACGTAAAATATCAAAGTTAAGAATCAATGGGAAAATGCAAAATTAGTAAGGCTAAATAATAATGTTTCCGTCGACAACGGTAGCCGTGATTTTTTTATTCCATCTCAAACAAAACAAAAGTTGTTCTTATCGGCTGTTGCATGTGTTGGAGACTGTTATTGTCATTGTTATAGACACATAATTTTCCAGTCAAACATTCTATAAAATAATATTCAATATCAATATAATATCTCATGATCAGTAAAACAATCATGACAACAGTCAACAGAGGTCCTCACACAAAATATGACTATGGGCAGGGACCGCGGAGACGGGGGGCTGGGGGGGCTTTAGCCCCCCCACTTTTTTTGACAGCCAAAATTATTAAAATAGAAATCTAAATGAAACTTTCTAAATTAATTAAACCTCACCCTTTAGCCCCCCCACTCTCTAATACGCTCCGCGGGCCCTGATGGGTCACCTCTTCCTCCTTTACGTCACTGCTCTCCCCTTGACAAGTAAAATCTTTTGCGGCATTCTAAAGACAGTGAGAGTAAAATAATAAAGTAGAATGATGTATTAGGGCGCAATGCAACTTCAGTTAATGGTAATTAAGATTGTCATCAAAGCAAGAAACCTTTCCCTTCACATTTCTGTGGCCAGGAGGAAATAAAGACAAGATAATTATAGTAATAGTATTTATTTAGGACTATCTCAAGTGGGTACGGGGAGTTAACTTCCAATTTCCTCAGTGGGGAGGTATGGATGTTTTCTGGAATGACCCAATAAATATATAGGCTTAAAACGTTAACAGTGAAGTTGCCAATCTCCCGAATCAGACGGCAATCCTAGATTTGCCCTTGCCACGTACGGCCATAAATTGCAAAGAAAGATGGTCACTAACTATTAATTATGCGACAATATATTTTGTTTTGCTTTTTATTTGCAACAAAATAAGGCGCATATTGTAAGTTTAATTAAAGTGTTCTTAAAGAATTATTCTTGAATCACCTCCTTTTATAACATGCATTATAATTGTTTTGGGCCCTTTGTAGGCTTTTCTTAACCGTCCTCAAAATTCTACCCATACAATGTAATTTAAAAAGTTTACCAACTCCATATGGAAGCATAGGCAGTCCACTAAACGGCTGAATTTAAATTAAAACTGCAGAAGTATACTTTATAACTATACCTCTGTTCGCCGATAGTGCAATCTGGTAGCGATTATTAATAAGCTACATTTTGCAATATATTGAGTGTTAAGAAGGGCTAGCTCATTTTAGGTTTCAATTTGTGGCTTCAATTTCTGATTGTCCCTTAAGTCTTTGAATACTACTGCCTTCTTGAAAATAACCAGCCTAATATTTCTAACTTAGTAGTTGACTTTTGAGTCTCCTGAGTCAATGAGAGACATGTACTGTATACATGCTTTGATGATTCAGGGATGCCAGAATTTATGGTAAGCAGTATCAAGAAGTGGGATACTGGAAATCCTCTGAGATGGGATACTAGAACTCTGAATCCTGGTATCCCAATGGGGTCCTGAAAAATATTTTAAATTTCAGACCCAGTGGACTATATATAGTATTAGTCACAATGAAATAACGTAGGAACATTTATGAAGAAGAAACCAATATTAACCCCAACGAATACATCTACCTACAGTACCCAGATGCCTAGGACCTGTTCATATAAGCCGAGCTGGCGTGGTAATAGGGAGATCTCGCCTCGTATACTGATTTTAGTTATATGTTTTTATGATTTGATTCACAAGGGAACCATTCATTTCAATGGATTAGCCCACGCAATTTGCCGGGCTCTCGTTTGAGCGTGGAATCATATGTGCGGACTTAGCAGGTAAGCCCGGCAAATCGGGTATGAAAGTGTACGGGAACGCATGCTTTATTCCATCTAGAAAGCATCTAAAAATTCAAAGGAAATAAAAATCAACAATATCCCCCCTCGTGTGAAACAAGTAACAACTTGGTCCAGCAAAGCGATTCGGCCAGGCTCATATGAACAGGCCATAAACATCGCTGGCTTACCTAGCAGCTCTATGAAATATAGTCCATTGAAGAGGACATGGAGGCATGATTCAAAGCTTGTCTCACAAGCAATGTACTCAAAATTTCCATCGCAATCTCAGAACGATCTTCCGAACAGCAAAGATCCATAACTCTTTTCCATTTCTCAGTAGTCATTTTATCCGAAGATTTCTCTTGAAAAATCACTTATAGAATGCTTTATGCGTTTTGAATCGTAACACCAGTAAAAGCAATTTGTTCATGAAATGAAATAAGTACCTCTTCATTGTTTGTAAGTAAGATATTTACGATACAACAAAATGATATTACGCATTCAGTTTTTCTGCTGTTCAGGTTGGATTGAAGAATTATGATTGCATAGAAAATTGTGGGGTTTGATTGAAGGATTGGTCTGTATTCGGAAATCTTGAAACCTCCATTTGTTCGTCCATATTCAATGACTGCACGATGCTTCCCTTGTCTTGCTAAGGTGTTGGTAACCTGCCGATGAGCCCCCCCGCCCCGGCTATGAACGCGACTCGTTTTCCATTTCTTTTATAATTATATAAGTAGAAATATGTTACATAGTAAGCAATTTTATTCAACAGAACGATCGACTTTATAGTTTAAATTTCTCCTAACATGTAATCAGTGACGTCGCGCGTATATGCGTCTTTCTCACCAGAAGAATCGAATGGTCGGAATTTTTTTTCAATACCCATTCGCAGGCTAAAACCCATAGACAATGTTGCGGAGTATTTAGCTCAGTATTCTGTCATTTCTGTGCTATCGGCTTGAATTTTTAAGCGGGCGATGGAGCAAGAAAAATAAAACATTTTGATGTTAAATTTAAGGTGATGTAAAGTCCGTTCTGCGCAGGCCTACATTCCAATGTTGTTGTTAATATTTCACACCTTTCGCACTTTCTTGAATTGAATATCTAGTCTGTATTCATTTACAAGCATAGCGAACCAGAAGTGTGTTAAAAATTCGGTATAATTTAGATCTAATCATATTTTACAAACCTGTTCGAAATGGTGGAAATAAAAGAACAGTGATATGCAGACTAATTTCCAAATGTTTTCCAGCATCTAACTTGCTGGGATGGTTTTCGTCCTCTGGTTGAAATTATAATTAGTATTTTTTTGTCTTTCGACGAAAATATATCTACAGTAGCAGTTTTTTTATCAGAAGCATTTGAAGGTACTTTCTAAATCACATCTTTTCAGTTTTTGTAGCTTTTTTCTGTTGTTTCTGGTATTTCTTTGGGGTTTTTCCCCGGTTTTTCTCAGCTATTTTGCTTTGCCCAAAACTTTTCAAGAAAAAAACAACTACGACGAATGCCAAGCTGATTAATTTACTCTACTACAGTGCTTAAGGCCCTGTCACACTATTGCGTATGAGAGAAACGTATGAGAAGCGTATGAAAATCAATGAAATAATTTTCATACGCACAAAAATCCTTTGAAATGCCAACGTATGAGTACCTTACATCTCGCGTACCTCTAGCGTATTCAGCGTGTGCCTAGAGTATGCTTATCGTATAAAGCATACGTCCGATACGCACAAAATTTTTGGGCATGCTTAAAACAAATTTTCTGCCTCGCCGTATGCTAGCGTATGCCACCGTACGCGACCGTGCTTGAAACGTATACAACCTATGCCCGACGTACCCCTAGTATATGTCAGCGTATACCAGCGTATGAGTGATATTTTCCATACGCTGGCATACGCTAGTACGATATACGCAATAGTGTGACAGGGCCTTTACATAGGCGTACGGGGCGGGGCGGTTGCCTCCAGTCAAAAATGAATTCGGGCAAAAATTGGGGGGGGGGGATAACTTTAAAAAGTAGACACATTAAATTTATTTCTTATTTTTATTTCTCAAGTATATATACAAAAGGTTAATTTATTTAAATATATTTACAACGTTTTGGACCGTGTCCGTCCTCAGGCGACAACTGTTGTTAACGTTATGAAGACGGACATTTAAAATGTCCGAAACGTTGCAAATTTAAATAAATTAACCTTTTGTATATATCCTTGAGAAATAAAAATAAGAAATAAATTATGAACCACAAAGGTGAAAGTTTTAGAAACAAGATTAAAGATAGTATTTGAAAATACCAGAAATATGTAAACGTAACATTGAATTTTGCGATAAATTTTTTGTCGACCTACACACTACGTTTCAAGGATAATCATTCTGATTCTGCTATGTGTCATTAGCCCTTTCAATGCGAGAGATATTGTGTATAGTTGCAAATGCTCTATATAGTCACAGTCGTATTGCATATATTGAGTATAGAATCTTTCTGTGAGTCTTGTATACAACGTCGTTTTAATAAGCATTATTTAGTTCATTTCCATTACATACAAATATTAAAATTATGTTGACTTCGTCAATTAAGCTATATTCACACAATCTATATCAGTCTATATACATAACACACGTGCATGACACTAGTTAACATACGCATACGGAAAGGTCCAAAAAATCCCCCTTTTGGCTTTCACAGTATATAAGAAACAGATTCTAAAATAATGATTATTTAATACGTAATCAAAATAACCAAATTTTGCTTCCTGCATGCATTTATATTCCGACTTGTCTAATATTTTTGGGAAGCACTGTTCTGTATACTAAAACTGTCTGTACCAGTGTTGATAGTACCAATGTGAAAATGCTGTGCTGAGTGGTTATATTACTACCTTAATCAATAAGCAGAAACTCGACATTTCGAGCGAAGGCCCTTCGTCAAGAATTAGTAGCAGGATTTCGTTTTTTGAAGGCCAGGCACGCAGAGAAAATGCCACAAATGTACTGTTCCACAACAGAAAAGACGAAAGAATCAGAACAAAAATCATGGTGTGAGGCAAGTTGACCAAGATTATTGGATGACTTTTAATAAAGCTACCTCGTACCAAGGGTATTTGTTCTTGAGGAGCGAAAGATCCTGGTATGGCCTGGTCACGTGACCCGCGGATTTTGCGTAAAATGGCGTATTGTTTACTAGGGTCGGGGGAGTGAGTATACATTGTCACTCCTAGTAATTATATCACGCTTTTAAATTTTAATTAGTAGGAGTGACAATGTATACTCACTCCCCGGACCCTGGTAAACAATACGCCATTTTACGCAAAATCCGCGGGTCACGTGACCAGGCCATACCAGGGTATTTCGCTCCCCCAGAGCAAATATCCTGGGTACGAGGTTGTTAATAAAGCTGTGTTGCACGAGGAAATTTTTGCTGCAATTTGCAACGCAATTTGTGACGTATACTGTAGAGCCATGCTCTTATATATAGTCGCGATGCATGTTTATTCTACCCACATTATTTTATAATATTTCGAAGAAATATCCGCAGACTGAAAATGCGGGCCATGCTCACATTTCTTTGTGACTACTTTCCAAATGACATGGCTCTGTAGCCAAAATGTAATTTGTAGCAAAAGTTGGCTTGTACCTTTCTTGGCAACATTCTCGCATCTGCCTATTTTGACAAGTTGGTATATTTGTGCATTTCGTACTTTCAGTCACTCCAGAAAACTAGCAAAATGTTTGCATCACTAAATGTCCATCAGTTCGATCAATAAAGCAAACGACCTCGAAATATGATGGAGGATTTTTTGGAACACTTTGTATACATGATAATTATTGTAGTGCTGTCCTACGGCAATCTACTTTATTTAAGTTAGGGTTAAATATACGGTATAGAACGTTGTCTACCACTAGAATTCAAGCTGGTCACATTTGACGTCTCTCAAACATTGAGTCGTGCCCAGTCCACCAGTCGTCATTCATATTTTGGTCAAATCTCATTCACGGACTGGGTACGAGTCTGTTCGAAACACGGCTTAAATATAAATCCGCTTGGTTTAGTTTAAAAAAATGAGGTGCTTATTTGAAGCAATTTTCAACTAGAAAGATAAGCACGACCCATCCGACACATATTTATATATATGGGGTGCAATTGTTGAGTTATGGTTTGGCTTCATTATTATAGAGGTTCAGATGAGTTCCACTACCTCTAACTGGCTTAGTACGCATCTGATTGGTTAATCAAATAGATCGAACGCATCTGATTGGTTGATGGTCCCTTAATGGTATAGCGGTAGTGGAAGTCAAATCTGAACCTCGATATTACTGGAACTTCATTCAAATATGCCAGGATTTTAACCTTAGTTACCAAATGATTTGAACAATAAGTATACAGCCATACAACTGTAGAATGATGACCGAGTACTCAATTCAAACGATTTACTCAGTATTTTCGGATGAAAAGCATTTCCAAAGATTTGAAACATATTTCACTCTCTTGGTCATACTAAAAATAGGGAATTTTGGTCAATTTTTTGGCACGTGGTAATAGATCGGTCACTCCAAGTGGTTTGTCGAAAGCTTGCTTCAAAATGATATACGATGATCATGATTATACAGGGTGTCCCAAAAATGCCCATAACAATTAATGTTTTGTGGTAGATTACAACATTTAGCTTTTATAAATGTTTAATTCAGACTTTTATGTACTGTTTAATAAACGAGCAGGAGTGTTTTATTAGGTTTAAACACGACTACAAATTCAATAGATATACTGCCTTATTAGTATTCTTTATATAAAGAATACTAATGTGGACACGACAATAGATACTGCCTTATTAGTATTCTTTATATAAAGAATACTAATTAGGAGTGTTTATCAGGTTTCATTAAAGCCACTGTACGTGACATATTATGGTTGACAAGCTTATTAATTATTAATGAGTGTTGGAACAATAAATAATATTTTTAAAATATGATATATAATCTGAAACCACCGGTTAATAGAATGAGACTGAAACTAGTGGATTGTTGTCCCTAATATCAAGATTTTGTTTGATGTAATGCACGCGAACAGTATCTATATTTAATTTAGTGGATGTAAAGCCCTGATCAAACGAGAACGCAAGTCATCGCAAGTTTTAACTTGCACTTGCTGCCTCGTTTGACCACCAACTTGTGTTGACTTGCGTTAACTTCCGATGACTTGCATATGATTTCAGCTGGTTCAAACGTCATCGCAAGCTTTTTAAACTTGCGAGCAGATGCGATACGTTTGATCAAGAAGTGCAAGTTCAAGTAAGTTTTTTGAGATCAGTTTCCATGGAAACAAACGGAAATCATAGTCTCTAGTCCCCTGCTCTCTCACGATGTTATAAAAATGACCTTTTCCTGGTCTTCACTTAAACCATTCTCTTGTTTTTCCACGTTTCTAAGCCTGAGACGTTTCGTCTTCAAGTAGAGAAAATAACACAATGACGTGGCAGCTTTTCGCTTCATTTTACATAGCATTTTCGAAAGTTTTTACATTCGTTTTAAATGGGTTTAAATGACGGCCATGTATTGTTTACATTTTTGCAACTTCGCAAAATCACAAAATTACCCGCACACGGGCCAAATATTGCAAATTGTTGCGATAACTTGCGTATCGTTTGATCGGTCCCATCGCAATTCAGGGCAAGTTAGAACAAGTTTACTTGCGATGTCTAGCGTTCTCGTTTGATCAGGGCTTAACTATATTTAAAATACTCATTAATAATTCATAAACCTTGTGGCAAATCATGTCAGCCATAATATGTCACGTGGAGTGACTTTATATCTGATAAAGCATGTAGCATTATATAATTGTTCATCCTAATTAGTATGATTATATATAATAGTTCATCCTAATTAATATTCTTTTGTAGTCGTATTTTAAGCTATTCAAAACACTCGTTGTCGTGTTTAATCAGACATAAAACGCTCGGCTGCGCCTCGCGTTTTATATCTGATAAAACACTCCTACTCGTGTTTTAAATAGTACATCAAATGTTAAATTTCAATTGTCCAAACCAATTAATTTGAATTCTTTTATTTCATTTATGAAACATTTTTTAGCTCTTATTTTACCTAATTACATTAATATTTGGACACGGTAGAATATTGGTGTCACTACTTTAAGTGCTTCGAGTTGATTTTTTTAATATTTAATCAGTCAAGTATTGATGGGTTAAAGATGTGATAGCTGTTTTGTCGAGTATAAAAACCTGAAACTTTTATCAATGCTAATTAACGTTGTAATACTACAGAACATAGCAGAGGCCATTTTCCTGGGACACTCTGTATATCATGAACAATTCCAGTGCCTATATTTTATCATTGGTAACGTACAGAACACCATTCGTATAAGAACCGTTCATTAGCCATACCTGTAGTTAATTGCACCGAAGAATTATCGTTTTATCGTCACAGTTAAGCATTGCTTTTTCATAACAAATGCCGAAGTTTTTGATGATAAATTATCAACCATGCATATTTACACCAGGATATAATAAATGTGTTCATTTACTAAAATAAACTGCATGGTCTTCATCAAACTACAGACAACTTTTTGTATTACTGTTTTGTAGTGATATATTCTGACTTCGTTCAAAAACAATCAGTAGCTTTGTTGTTCATTACTATAGAATACCGTTGTAGTTAGTTGAACAATGTTTACAAGTTAGACAAACTAAGAACAATAATTTGAATCGTTTAGCATACAGCAAGCTACATACCATTAAAAAACAAAAATGACCAATTTGTATTCAGCTTGTGAACAATCTTTTGGTATAATTTCATTCATTAGAAATAGTTTTGAAGAGAATACCTCTACGCACTGTTAAACCAAACTTTGCAGCTTTCTTTGTGTTTGGCGGAACCGCAACCTCGTTTACTTTAGTAAAAAATTGCTCGGTTGTAACCAGAACAGGAAGACCAATTTTGTTTTTGTCCGGAGGTGAACAATGCAAGGACATCCGCGGAGCTGCCAATACAACCAATCAAATTGTGCGACAAGCACTATCCACCTACCGAATATACGGCTATTTCAATTAAGGTTGTCGCCGAGCAAAACGGAAAAGTCGAATACGAGCGCGAAAGGCTTGCTGGGATTCACGAAAAATTCATTAATTTTTTAGCGATTCCCAGCAAGCCTTTCTCGCACGTATTCGACTTTTCCGCTTTGCTCGGAAACAACCTTAATTGAAATAGCTGTATGCAAATAAAATATAAAACTGCTTTCGATCTCTCTTCGGTTTATGTAATGCTAACCCCAGGTATAGGTAATGAACGGTCCCTTAACTCATTCTTTAATCAAAACAAGGCGGAAAATTGAGATCAGTTAAAAAGTGGTGGTATTTGTAATACCATTCTCTCCAGCGTGAAAATTACTGCCGTTTGCGTTGCCATTTTTTATGCTCTCGTTTCCGTCGTCGTCTAGAAGTTCATCCAGATCAGTGGACATGTGGTTTATCATTCCTGCACCATAAGCATCTCCCATGACGTTGTTGACAGTTTGTATTCGGTCACTGTGGAAATAATCATGATATTATTTGAAAGTTTGTATAAAATAATAATACCAACGAAAATATAAGAAGTTTAGTGTATAATATTATATGGAATGATGATGACTAAAATGTGATCGAAACGTAGAATAAACACTTTTCGAAATCTTTACCGTTTCCGGACAGGATAATAGTCTTTTTGATAATAACTTATTGTAGCCATTGTATGGTAATTTCGAGTGAGTTCTTCAAATACTATCAAATTGCACGTCAAGTCATGGGGAAAGGATTTAAGAGATATTTTCTATCACAACACAACACGACACAACACAACACAACACAACATAACATGACTAAATTATATCACATGCACACTGAATCGCATTACAGTGCATCTTTAACTAGTATCAACTTTTAGTTCTACCCAGTCAGAATTTAAAAAAATTCTTTCGTTTATCCTCTACTAACACCCCTGCGAGTTTATTTATTCCAGACACGTTTGAAGACGAGAGGGGATTTTGGACAAGAGACCTAATAAAAACTTTCCTGAATTTGCTGCCAGAACAGCAAATTGATGGCATTTTCTATCCCTGCCCATGATTCTCCCTCATCATTATTTTTTACATTAAACGAAATCTTGATGTTAGGAAGCGCAAATCGTCAGTTTTATTCAGGGTTAAGAATAAGTGGAAAGTTTCTTTAAAAATCTATTTTAAAAGAATTAATTTACTTTTAACCTCATTTGGTTATTTTGGTCATCCAAATAATTATGGATTGACATGATAAATTTAATTATGTTAGTTACTAATTACTAATTACTATAAAAGCTGAATAGCGGGTCCCCCTTATTACGTATTCTGAATACAACTTCCATGATACTTTGCGGGTATTTTCTTCATTATGTAATAACACGTACGAAAAGCATGCTGGTAGTTGTATTCAGAATACGCAATAAGGGGAACCGGCTATTGTGTATTAAATTTAGCTTACGTAGTAATGCCAGAAAATATATTGGGTCTTGGCATGGGGAGGGACACTTCCTTAGCGACACAATATGGAGATGTGGCCAAACAAACTTTTTCGTGCAAAAGGGCGCGGCGACGTATTTTATGGGTGACTTTGGTTATTGGAGAGGGGAAGGCTAAATAGGGGATTGAAGGTACAGATAGCATTATTACAAAAAATATGACGAAGAGACTTTTTGCTCATTAATTGCATGGTAATTAAATGATCAACCAGACGCGCAATGACTGACTACGTACTGTTTAATAAACGAGCAGGAGTGTTTTATTAGGTTTAAAGCCACGAGCGCGCAGCGCGAGTGGCTTTAGACCTAATAAAACACGACCTGCGAGTTTATTGAACGGCTTCAAACACGACTTCAAATTCAATAGATATACTGCCTTATTAGTATTCTTTATATAAAAAATACTAATGAGGACACGACTACAATACACACTGGCTTATTAGTATTCTTTATATAAAGAATACTAATTAGGAGTGTTTTATCAGGTTTAAAGCCACTGCACGTGACATATTATAGTTGACATGATTTGCCAATAAGCTTATGAATTATTAATGAGTGTTTGAAATGTACGTAATACACATGCATCAACTTACACAATCCAATCAACAGCAAAGATAAGGCCAATGAATCTTGTTGGAACTCCAACAGCTTCAAGACACAAAATGGTATAGGATAATCCGGCACTTGGTATCCCTGAGGCACCAGCTGACACAAATATTGCTACCAAACTGCAATATAGAGAGAACATATACTGTACTAAGCAGGAAAACTGTTGTCTAAGATTAATGGGTTACTTTCTGGCGAATTATTTGGCTTTATATATTATATGCGTGCAATTCTTTGCGTAGATGCATGTGCCCTGTGCCTTTACATTATTTTTATGCAATATATATTCCAACTTTCTTAGTATAGATTGATTGATTCTTTCCAATCGTATTTCACACTTACTGATTAAATTAGTACTTTAATGCTTTAATTTATATAAATTAATTGTACATGCGTATGTACGTGCATATTAGCTTATTTTTGTACTGCTATAATTGTAAAAGGTTTATTTTTTAATTGGGGATCCTTAAGTTATTGTTCTATAAATTTTCTGTTTGATTGGTTGAATAGATGTTCCATTACATTACTTGGTGAAGTTCAGTTTGTCTATATGGAGTAGCTGATATATGAAAAAGTTGGGTTTGAAAATTCTGGCATGGAAAAATAAAATCTCCTAGATAATTCCCCTTCCTTAAGCCACTTATGCGAATTAAATTACGCAGTAATGTATGAAAAGATGTAAAAAATGTATACTGATATAGCAAACTAATTTTTGTTGCCATTCGCCTCAAAACGAGAAAAGTTGACAAAACAACAAAAGACCTTACGCAGTCAAAATGACCTCTCCAAATGTGAGGGACATATTCTCGAGGTTTGCCAAAAATATAACGACGACGGCAAAGTACAAGGCACTACCATCCATATTACAAGTGGCACCGATTGGTAAGCAAAACTGAGCCACTCTACGATCGACCTTATTGTTCTCGGTGACACAACGAATAGTGACTGGAAGAGTGGCTGAGCTACAGGAAAGAAATACAAATTGAAATTATTCATTATAATTTCATTAATTCGCAACAAATGAATAAAGAGCAGCAAAATTGGTTTAACTTTTATGAAAGCACCTCAAATTTCATATCCTTTTTGAGAAACTGCTGGGATAATAATAAAAAAAAAATATCTGCTTCCGTATAGGAACTGAATTAATAAATAACAATTTATCTATATGCATGATTGAATTTGCTGTAAATTATGTATTTGGCTATTTCATCTGAAAGCTTATTTTGGTTAAGTTCAACATCGCCCTCGACATTTCAAAATTGTTATACTGCATGCAGCCTCATGACAGCTGAGCATTTAGTTTATTAACATATCAAACAAACTCAGATATATCCAATACGGAAACAGATCGACATCGATAACACGTCAACAACTAGGAGGATAATGAGCCCACGGATCATAGCCAGGGTGCGATAATTCGCGACCTTACGTACCGCATGTACGGCAGTACGGTCTGGTACTAATTTGTTTACAGCAAAGTACTAAGTAGCTACGCAGGACTCTCGCTGTCTTACATTTTGCTGGTACCATGTAGCCAGTTAACTAGCTTCCCAAATAAAGTAGATATATTCAAATAAAGTAGCTCCTTTATAATTGTTCTAGCTCGTATTTTTAGGTTCCTGACGGAATGCCATTCGAAAACTAGTCTGTACTGTGGTGTACTAAGTACACCTTTCATGAGTCTTACATAAATTTGTACCAGTTTACATAATTACGTGGCAATAATACTGGAGAACCAGTGCAATACGGCTGACAATCCTGAATTATCGCACCCCGACTGTTTCTTGTTTTAGGAGGGTCTTAATTGAAGAGGTGGGAGAATAGGATTTGAGTTAGTGAAATGATTTTAAGAAAAGCTAAATTGTATGCTCGTAAGTATGTTTAATTGCAGAAAATAACAGGTTTATATACTTTGGAAAGCCTTTTATCTGGAAAAACTATAGATTGAACTAGCTGCTCTGGAATTTTTTTTCAATTCCTGTTGGCCGGACTAGGGTTGGTTCAAAAGATTACTGAGAAATAGGATTCGAGAAAATTTGAGCGAGGAAATGGGATCTAGCTAGACTTCCCTTTAGGTGCTCTCGGCTTAACTATATGCATCAATTTAAATTCTTGTGCCATGCAATATCCTTATAGGTTAAAGAAAAGAATTGAAGAAACCGTAGTATCTAATTGTACTTGTAAGAATTCCTATATATAAATAATATTATAAACTGTCATGTACCTTGATGATGTTCCAAATGCAGTGATCATAGCAGGAACTATACCAGACAAATAAGCAAATGGATTCTTTCTCACAATGAAAAAGTACAATGAAGGATATACGATAAATGCTTGGATAAAACAACCAACAAAGTTAACTGCAACGAACAAGCCAACATCTCTGAATGTCTTCAAGATATCTTCAACTTCAGCCAAACTTCCAGCGATTAGACTTAAGATACCAAGTGGAGACACCCTATATATTAAACGAAAAAACACATGGAAACTCAGGAAACTTCATATAAATATACTTAAGGTAGCTATATACATGCAGACCTGGTGGCTATATATGCGGAGGAGGTCTGAATTGACCAAAACTTGATTATATTAAACTATTCAAATGTGCTTTATGATAGTGAGGCTTTCGGCAGTTTTCCAAATACCACTGTATTTTCAAAAAATAATCAGGTTTAGCATGGGTCCAGACGAAGGCCCTTTTACCGATACAATACGCTTCAGCCTTTTAAAAGGAAACCAGACTACTGAAACCGTGGTTTTCCACTTGAACTGTATTGAACCCCATATTCGACCCCAAAGAAAATGCCATGGTACGTTACGATACAGTTGAATGGAAAGTAGAATTAATGAAGGTGCCGCACCTATATTGAGCAGAGCATATGAACATTATAAGAATGGGAGGCGTTAAAAGCGATATAGTGTGGCTTCAATAATATGTCAATACCAAGAGAATCATTTATGCACACAAGACATAGCCTTACCACATAATCCAAGACACCAACATCATAACAACATGCATCCAAGATCTGCAGAAGTCCAACAACGGACGGCCATCTTCGCCCAACTTTCTTAGAACCACACCAAGCAGAATTGAGAACACGATAAGACCCATAAAATTCGTACCATCCTTCTCAATTGTGCCAGAAAATGTGTAATCCTTATCATTCGTGATCATCACCACTTGTGTACCATTGATTTCACTCCATGGCACAACCATGTTATCTTTAAGGAGTTTGGCCACACCTTCAGCCGGTTGGGGAATGGTTGTATTTTTTCGAAGATAGTTGATTGATTTACTAGCGTAGGTCGTCTGGGTCTAAAGTGAATAAACATGCACAGACTATTGGGAATCGCAATAACTCATAATGGTATTTTTTTGTTGTAGTAAATCTTTGTAATTTTGATATTTATCAGAGGTCTTGTTAATTTAAGGATAAAAGTACGTTACAGCATTCGCATCCGATCTTTATATGATATATAAACTTCCCCTTCGGCTCGAGTTTGTATATCAATGATGATCGGCTGCTTATGTTTTAACTAGTACTTAGAAGTCTTTACGTCACATCACCGTCAAACAATGAATTTCTTACCCCCATTTATCCCACATTGCATTACGTGTACCTAATGCTTTGATGGATTGAGAATTGTGTGACGTAAGCACTTCTAAGGGTCAATGAGATGTTGCATGGCTATACTTACAGATTTCAATGCTGCCTCTACCAAATTTTGTGGAATTAAATTTCTAAAACAAAAATTTATTACAGTTTATTATAGTCTGAAGATATTTCAGCTCTACAAACATTGCGGATTGTCATGTCAATCTACGATCAGTAGAAAACACGACGCAATGACATTTTTAAGACAACATGAAAATAACGTATGCACCTCGCGTTTGTACTTCTGGTTTTGATATGGGACTTCATGTTTGTCTTTTTCAAAGCAAATTTGTGTTTTCGTGTCTCCTGATCATTCCTGTATTGTTTTCAATCAGCCAAAAATCGTCTTGCCACGCTATTTTCACGTCGTCGTCTTAGACGTCGCGTCGTGTATTCTAAATCTTCCAAGTTTAATTAGCGACAACTACGTAATGTTTTTCCTCTGATCATGCTTGGTATGTACAATGTTCAGCACAGTTTTTAGACTTTAGTTGTTCAACAATGTAACAATCTGTCCTCTAATCTTTTTTAATTAAAACACGGACAAGAAAGCATTTGAAATAAAACCGATTGAAACCTTTTGTCGTCATCGCGCAATAACGCTGACGAACTGCGCGTCTTAAACATCGCAGACGTACTGACAAAAACTTGCGAAAAACAAACCCGCGTAATTGCGTATAACAACATTTCATTTACAACTGAGGGTAGAATATTATTGGAGAAAGTGGAAAGGGAAAGATCCTTGCGTGTACAACAACTAGCTGTGTATAACCCGTTGGGACCACCTAGCCAACCATATTTCGAAACCGCCAAATGTGCTATACCACAATTTCTGAAAAACTAGTTTCATATTAATCTGACACTGCAATCGAGCAACGAAAAATTTGTTGGCTCGAGCGGGATTTGAACTCGCATCTTCGGGTATCTACACCGCCGCTCTACCTATTGAGCTATCGAGTCAACAGGGATTGGTAGCGAGTTTTATCCAATTTAAGTGCACGAAATATTTTCGTGACGACTTAACGCTTGTCTTAGAGGACGCGCAGTGTTTCAATTCTATTCAGTCAGAACCATATTTCGTGCACTTAAATTGGATAAGACTCGCTACCAATCCCCATTGACTCGATAGCTCAATAGGTAGAGCGGCGGTCTAGATACCCGAAGGCTCGAGCCAACGAATTTTTCGTTGCTCGATTGCAGTGTCAGATTAATATGAAACTAGTTTTTCGTATCTCTGAGGATGGTTCTGAAATACAATTTCTGACAACAGCAACATTTACAACACAAGAGATATAATTACATGTACTCTATTGTAAGCAGGACAAAATTACTGCAATTTGATTGGTGAAAAGGCGTACAATTATTATAGTAATTGTACAACAATACCAATTACTAAATCGGGAGTGGCATGGAGGTTGGGAACAAATTTGAACTATAATATTCAAAATGGCATTTCAACATAGATGTGAATTTTTTCTTGTGTTTTCACAAATTCAGATGCTTTTTAATATCAAATACAATAACAATATTCTGAAATGAATGCAGTGAGTATGCAGAATTAATGTTTTCACGTAACAGAAATAGAAAACAACTAAACAAGTCGCTTTTTATGGTGTTATAGAATTAACAATATGGTGTTATAGAATTAACATTTCATTTGCTGAAAGCAATTTAATCGTTGGTCGAAAATATCCAGGCAGTTTTTATCTGAAGCATTTTTTAGGTACTTTCTTAGTTTTTTTAATAGGATTTGTTTAGTTTTTGTAGCTTTTTCTAGTTTTCTTGTTGCATTCCTGTTGCTTTTAGAACGTTTCTCTGGTTCTTTCAAATTCAGACTCGAAAACAGCGGTGGAAATTCCTTTGCCTTTTGTGTCTTGTTTACTGCTTTTGCACTTCGTTTCGTTCCGGCCTACTCTTTTGATTCACACTTTCTGATCAATTTTGAATAACTGTCAAAACTATATAAGTTTGTTCACTTTTTTGCCAAGAAATTGGAGACAAAATTTAAAGCGTTACAACACACGCACAATCAAATTCATATTGAACGATTTAGTATCTCGCCATGGTATCGCGGGCTTTCAATTGTTATTATTTTTATCTACCCGTGCAAAATCGACAAATAGCGATAAAAATACCTTGTTTGGTAAATTTCCAACATGAATCAGATAAAAGAAGCAAGTATTCTCAAAATATATTTTAAAACATACGACGGATTAGAAAATACTTTTTGAGATCTATTGATCTATACTCGGCCCATAAATTTCATAATCGTCCATGATTACTCATATACTACCAGTTGAAATAACGTCCCTTTGAACGAGTGAACATCAAAGCCGCAAAACTGGACCTCAAAATCCGAACAAAACCTCGTAGCAGCTTCGTATTTACAGTGAAACATTAATTGCACCTTCCCTTTATTCATATTACTGCATCAGAATTTTGACTTCGAAAGGGAAAACCCATGCCAATTAATCCGAACCCGGCCATGCCAATTAATCATGTGATATTGATCGACGGCGGCTCGTGTGATTTTGAATAGCAAACTTTCAAACATCACTATATCATCACTCGTACATGATTACCTATACTACTATTTCAAATAACTTTACATCACTATATCATCACTCGTCCATGATTACTCATAAAACATTAAACATTCTCTTATTCATACTATTGCATCAGACTTTTGACGTTGAAGTTTGAAAGGGCAATCCCTATACCAATTAATCGAAGCAGTTGTCTATGTATCATGCATGACTACATGTCATAATTTAACGGGAGTTAAGTTACTATTGAGAGGCTGGAAGCTATAATTCAACACATTGCTATAAGCTCTATATACGCTAAATTATTGGAATGTGGACATTCTTTGTTCAAAATTCATTCAAGGTCGTTGGAATAATTTACCGTTACATGCGGTTAAAGTATTTGTGTGCACACTGTGTTTGCTCTTGCTAATTGCGATAAATCGCTTCTATTCATGCGATCACGAAGTTTGCCGATATTAACCAGATCACAAATATGTACTCTTTTCCACCACGTCCCAGTTGCGTCGATCAGCACTGATCGATTGCAAAATATTTAATATCTTCGGTTCAGTGCATGCTATGAAGACAGAAATACCACCATTCGATTCAGAAAGAAAAGATTCAACTAATTCCTCCCTATAGTTATAGTCATTATCAACATTGTAGCGATTTATGGGCCTTTGAAGTCAAACACGATCATATTGTATCAAATTACGCAATTGTCTGAACAAAAATATAGACTAGCCATACCTTTTGCCGAAAATAACTTCGGCCCCTTCGAACATATCGTCTTTGTAATAGTCTTGTTAAAATCGCCATTAAAAACACTACTTAGAGTGTTATTTGCAAGCCTGTATCTTCAAATCTGTATCTTTTATCAATATATTTTTATTTCTTGCCCGACTGTGAGCTCGAAGTGAGTTAATCCCAACCGGAAATACAACTGAAAATCGTCAAAACAATGCGAAGCTTGTATTGTATGACCCTGCAAAGGCCAGAAATGGATTCGCAAGGTCAAATTGCACCTATACGCGTGAGTTTGACGTCATACCAGCCAACAGGAGCTTCTTATTGGCCAATTATTGCGCAATGTTCGCAAGTGCGAGTAAAACCCGATATCTTGAAAAATTCAAAATAAATATTTCTAGTCGGCGTATACATACGAAACTTTCTACACAAAAGCGCTTGAATACAAAGAGTATTTTCCACATATAGCCGTTCAGCAAATGACGAAATGTTCAAAGAGATATTCAAGATCTTGTGTATATGAAATTTAGAATCTTTGGCCAAGCGGTGAGTAAATATATGATTGTTTCGGTTTGTGTAATGTTCAGACGGCACTTGACCCCCCGTTTGAAAGGTTATTTTGTGAGGATTACAATGGTGGTATTTATTTATAAGGGGGGTAAATACTCGCCGAGATATTTATATTAGAAAAATTGTGTCGTAATATGATGCGAGAGGGGGTGGTCGAAAAAGAGGTTAATTAAAGTAAAAAATAATCAAAATTATAATTTGTGCAATAATAATAGTCATTATGTTCTGGAAAATTAGCCTAGAACTAATTTTCTTAATTAAAAAGGGTCGCCCCCAGGCCCCAACCTATATATTAACGGGATTTGCGAAAGAATAAAAGACTATAGAAATCATCTTTCTAAACTAAAGGACGAGTCATAACACTGATCCCTATTGTTTTATGAAGCCAATCACAAAAGACGATCATTTTAGGTTGGTATTTACTCCTTAATTAAAAGAGCATCAGTTTATTTGGGTGTAAAAATCTGGAGCGAAATATCCACTGAACTTAAATGTGGTGGTGTAATAGCACCAATATTAAAGCCCTGCTTCCAGACAGATCGCTGTTAAATTCTCAATTAATGTTTTGTACGCGTACTAACATGTAAAAACAGATAAGAATTGTGTATTATTTTATTGGTAGTATCGATTTAGACGTAAAAATTGTTTCTAATGGCCCCTTAGAAAACAGCGTTCTTATTTGCTGAAGGGCTGCCGCTTTTAAATTTGAATAATATTAATACTACAGTGCGGTGCTCTGGTGCATGCGCAAAACATGTACACTACCAACGTGAAGACATACTATTCCTGAATAAATATCAAGGCTTATGTTTCCGACCAAACTGAACAGACTTCAGAACAAAGTCACGCAGCGAATATAAAGCGTTGCCAAACTTCGTTTCACCATATTAATAAATCTCACCAGTGCAATATGAACTAATTGAAAAATTAATTTAACATCAGACTATAAGTAAAGATTAAAGAACGTTTTATTAAGTACCCCACTGGGCTAGACATTTCGTCAAAAAAACGTTGTCTTTGCTTTGGAAACTATTTTGAATTACTTAAATGCATGAAATAAATTAGCGATTACGTAGAAACTTGAGTATCTCAAAAAATGACCTTTGCTCGCCCAAAAATGTTTAATCTGAGGTTGAGTATTGAGTAAGAGAAACATGTCTCAAAATAATATTTTATCCGATTATATTTCATGATATAAGAAGGCATGTTTTCCTCAAACAACTTCCGATACAGAAATACTTTGCGTTGAGACAATATTTATCGCTAAATGTGGGGCATCTTAAGAAACAGAATTTACTCAGCGCAGTCATGTGACAGATCACAGTCATAATTTGGCACATGATTTGTCGATTTAGCTACAAACGATTTTGTAAACAAACTTAACCTTGGCTGGCTGGAACGAGATACGCGCTCAGCGGAAATTCGCTGAAAATGATTTATATCATATGTCTAAATTTCACGGTGTTATAATTTAAAGATGATGTCGGCTCCTGCATGTGCGCACGCGCAAACTTTGTTACGTTTTGAACTGCTATATTTGTAAAATATGATATACTAACTGAATATCTAACACTTTCCTGGTTCGCTATGCTTGTAAATGAATACAAACTCTACGTTTCAATTCAAAGAAGTTCGAAAGATGCCAAATTTGGGCAATGTTTATATCTGGGGGGTCCCCCTTTGTTATAAGCAGAACTGATGCGCAGAACGGAGTGGAAATCATCTTTAAATAAAGTGACTTTCATGTGAGTGATTTTTCAGTCATAGATATTGATCGGATTGATCAGACGCAGTGCGTGTAGTTGTCGTGGATTCAAACCTCTATAGTTCAAGTAAAAGCTCTGTAGCAATTTTTGGTAACTATAAAAAATTAGAAGATTTAAATTCTCATTCAAATATTACTGGTTCACATGCTAAAAAAATATGGTGCTATTTACATTATCGCTATAATCAGATCTGGCAATGTTGTTCGAAAGTCATGCAAGGGCACATAAATAAAATCTGCAATATTATCAAATACGATTAAAAGCAATGGAGGTGGGTAAGAAAATAAAATATTAAATAATAATAATAACATCGCAAGCAACTTAGCCTAAATTATATTTGTCAAGAACACCATTGATGGAAACCGTGCACTATAAATTCAGAAGACTCCACTGAACGACGAAAAAGAGTCGTTCTCAAATTGACTCCCAAAGCGGCTCCGTCATTCTTACTTTTTTGAATTAATAGTGTAGTCAATCTATATATCACAAAAAGCGAACTAAGCAATTAAATTGTGGCGTCCATTTCACAGTAATTAGCTATATATTAATCGATTTTCCACTTAGTGCATGCATTCCGTGCATGGTATAGTCTCAACAAAAAGTATTTCTTATACTGTTTATAAAATAAGCATGTCTGCAGATTGTAGCCTACTATATATATTTTTATATATGTTGTAGATATAAATTGTAAAAAATCTTACATCAAAGAAAATCTTATAACATATACAAAATCTTATTTTATAACTTATATATATAGCTTTATTTTATTACAATATTATTTTATTATTAGTTTTATTTTATAATATATATATTTATATATATATATATTTATTTATATATATATATATATATATATATATATATATATATATATATATATATATATATATATATATATATATATATATATATATATATATATATACCGTGTGTCCCAAAAAAAACTATACCCTCTTTGATTTCATGTAACGTAAAACCTATAAGAGCTATTTCACTAAAATAAAAACCATTGTATTCACAAATGATTAACTTAGATTTTAATATATAACATTTAATTTTCCGTGCGATATTGACAGAAATACAAGTGTTTGAAGTTGCGAGGAGTTTTTGAAATTGGCGAAAAAACAACAAAAATCGCCGTATCAAACTAACTTGAAAGGGTTAAGGGTTAGAGTTTAAGCTTTGCAAAGGACTACATTTTTATGTATAGAGCGTCGAAGTTTGCGGGTTCGAAACCCAGCCGCGGCAGTTATTAGCATAGCCATATAGGATTTGTTCTCACGTCGGCACTTGGAGACAAGTTTCTGGCCTCTTATTCTGCATTTACTGTTGCGGCGCGTCAATCAATCACGAGAAGCATTCGAGCAAAACTGCATTGTCCAAGAATTGCATTGTCATTGAATTGAAATAATCTTTATTGAGGAACCCGTCGTCACCGCAAAGTGATTTAAATTTGCAGACGGGCATGGAAATATGGAAATTGAAAGAAGGACATAAAGTAGGCCTACTCTATAAAGTGCATGGTCGATTTTAAAGTATGCGAGAGCTTCGACTGGTTATGTAATTTATGCACCACAGAAAACTTTGTATTTTAAACGCAAACAAAAGATTTTTGCTGAATACGTCCGACATGAGAACAAATACCATGCTAAGAACTTTTATAATTTTGGATTACAATAAAAACAATGTTTACTCAAATACTCTATAAACTTTTACAAACTTTAGTCTGATGATCGCCTCCAGCAACACTCGAGTAACTGCCTTAATTTTATTTGTATAAATATTCCATTTCAACGCCGTATATAGTTCGCTCCTGAACGTTGGTGTTGAGCACTCCCACTCACTGAAACTGAATACCGCGCCAAACATTATATCATCGCAGATCTAGTATTGTTGAATGCGGAATTGATGTAAACGAGTATATGTTTATGAGTTTATGATACAAAAGATCTTAAGATTTAAGTAAATGGATCGGATCACTTGCATTTATTTAATTCCTTTTAATTTGACATGTTTTAATCACTTAATCCCCCTGACTTTCCGGCGTAAATGGCCATGCAAGGGATATACAATGTTTACATTCTTATATGTTCAAAACAATCCATATTCGTTAAGAGTATCATGGAGAGTAGAATTGTCCACTTATGTATTGCGAGATGACACGTATTGCGAGTTGATACGGTTTGCGTCAAAATATATTGTGACAGTTATGCTGATTTATGAGATATGGCTAATTATCATATACATGAATTACCCAAGTACAGTTGTGTAGTATTAGTATTGGTATTGGTATTAATAAAGTATTTGTAGATATTTATTCAACTTCCTTTAGCAATTATGCGTTGATATCGCATTCCTTGGTGTACACAAACTCGGTATAGGCTGTTTCCACCTATTTTTTCTCAATTACTTATAATTTTATTACGTTTTCCCCAGAGAGAACATGCTTAAAAGCGCAGTTATCATACAAAACAAAATAGAAAGTGTACCTTAAAAGGTCGAGAAATGAATCGAACGCTGTGATTTGACTCGGTTCGCTTTCAACGTCGGTTTTGCTGTTATTGTCTTCACCAGGTCTTATAACTTTCACAAGTACAAGTCCGAGAACTGTCGCAACCACAGTGGTCGTGAGATAGTACAGGAAGGTCCGCTTACCCAACTTTCCCGCCGAACCCGTATCAATTTCTCCTAGAGCCACAACAATACTAGAGACTGTAAGCGGTATGATAATCATTCGTAGCATTCGAATGAACAGCTCGCCGGGAAATTTGATGTACATAATAACTTTTTCGGTCGACGGATCTGTAGATTCTTGAACAGCATCGTGTATCAGGATTCCAATCAGGAAACCGAGAATGACTGACACGACAATCGCAACTAACTGTACGTTTCCCAACAACGCGTTGCGTATTTTTGAAACCCGACTGATGGTCTGAGGTTCTTCAAAGTTAGCTTCAACATCAACGGCATCTCCATCTTTACTGATTTCTGGATTCTGTATTACAACCGACATGTTGCCACAACGGTATCCAAGGTGTTTCTGCGGTTTATTTATTTCTGGCAATTAAGGCAATTTATTTCGATACGCACTCGTGATCAATATCACCCGTCGATTGTTTTTTGTCTTCCTGTTTTTAAGTCATCAAGCATACTAATTATTCATGTAAACAGCTTTCGGTATTTAATACGTACCGGCCGTATGTGGGAATTATGCGCTATATTTGTGAGAGTCACATGATCTTAGACTATGATGATAAGCCAGACTCTAGAACTGAGTCATAATGATTAGAAAATTGCTAAAAGCCAATTCAAATGTCTGTTGCTCAGCAGGCGACTATTGAGCTACTCCTCGTTCCCAGCGTCCTCTCTTGATGGAGATATTTCATTCGCAAAAGGGAATAGCCTGGGAACGAGGTTGCTGTGGGGCCTCCAAGAATTCTTAAAATGCACTGTCTAATTGTTAACAGAATCGAATCAAGCGGTTAACTAATTTCCATTTTCCTAGAAATCTCTCAACAAGCAAGTAAATTAAATCCAATTTAATTGATCAAAATGTCTGCGCGCGGATATCCAATACGGACATCAAATTGCCAGCTGGCTGTGTCAAACGCAACGCTTTCAAATAAACCTGTTGTTCTGGGAGAAAATTTACTGAATATGACCAGCGTATTTGGTGTTGTGGAAATTAGGCTGCTCACGCGCAAATAATTAATTACTAGACTCGGCTTGCTTGCTAAATTTGGTGGTTGTTTATGCAAAAAAAAGTTATAAGCTAATCCTGAAACGCGTCCTTTTGCGTGCGTCAACGCTGTAAATTTGAGGAGCTGTAAATTATACAGGGATAGAGAATTGGTTTAAATTGGTAAATATTGCTGGATTGTTATGCGGTAGATTGTTGTAAATTGATATTTAGGTCGAGTTTAACTTATGTGTTGTTGTAACGCACTTGAAATAAAGAGAATAAAAAAACCCTAATAATTGGCAGTCCCACGACTGTATAGTAGAACCAGCGTGTGGAACTCCTTGCACGTGATGGTGGGTAATCAGTGACCCGAAATTTGTACTCCACAATTTATTGTTCTCACACTGCTGAAAAACGTGAAGAAGCCAGGCCGAGACTTAGTTCGCTCCATGTTTGGACAAAACCAGTTGAGACCACTTTTAAATTCCCCTTTGTACAAAATTTGCATACCACTTTATTAATAAAACCCTTTTGCAAAAACGGTATTGTTCAAAACTGTAAATAAACATTGAATTAAGTTGGCAATTGGTATACCAATTAAGCTATACGTTAAAGAAATAAAATGACGACAACCGAAGATTTGCAGGGGCGCCGGAATATCGATAATTGCGGGGGCAGATATTCATATATTCGTGTTCACAGACTGTAAAAACAATCGATTTCAAAAGAAATTAATTGGGCAGAACAAGAATATATGAATATCTGCCCCCCCAATTATCGATATTCCGGCGTCCCTGAAGATTTGATGCTTTATTGATTGTTCAGTGAAGTATCTATAGTCTTATTCTCTTAATTGACACTTTAGTTAGTAATGAAGGGTAAATATAATGTGAAGGAAGAGCGGCCACGATTAGACGCTGTTAATTTTTTGGACACACGTTCTCTGACCAGGATATTATATTTATATACTTCAAACTTTCGGCAATCTCAGTTTTTGTGGCCTTCAACAGGAACGCAATAATTAGGAAACAACTATTCACAAGTATTTACAACGAATATTAAATTAACTGTATGCGAGTCACTGAATCATTATTAGGTAATTAGGGAAAGTCATTATTTTCGGCCGGTAAGAATAGGACATTATATTCGCTTGGTATCATCATAGAGTTATTATCCCCATAACGCTGCAATACCTGAAGGGATAATAATCCTACAACGCTACCTAAACAATACGCTATTCTTATCCGCAAACAATGCAGCCCCTAATGACTTAAATTACCTAGTAATTAACAGTGTCATACGTGGCTCGCCATCACGTTTCCCACGCACGAATGTGTAGACTAATTCGGAGTTTCGATTGCGCATCAAAATGATGCGTTCTGCTCTGCCCCCAAAATTGCAGTTGAATTCTAACATGTACGTAGCTGAGACTGAAAGAATTAGAATTCGCCTCATGCATGTAAGGTCCTGAATCTGACTTTTAATAGCTTTACAACCCGGAATCCAGACAGTGGAATCCAGAATCCAAACATCGGAGGAATCCGGAATCCTTATCCAGTTCAATAACCGGACAAGAAATTTTAATGCTTCCAGTCTCAGCCACCTATATCTCAGCGCAGAATATGTCATTTCACTCATTTAGATGTGCTGATGAAACTCAGAATTGGTTCATTTCACTATGATCCTAAGCCTAACAGCAACCCCATCCCTAACCGGCTAACCCGCGGTTATAATTTCAGTACATGACTAATATTTCTTCAATCAATCAATTTATTAATTTCATATACCAAATTTACGAGAATGAACAAAATTGTATACCTTTAAACATAACATACATATAGCAATTCGTGCATGCAGGCTAGTGGAGAGAGAGAAACCTTGTATCTTGTGTGTTCAGGGCATAGATATCTTATATACACTAGATAGTGCATCTAATTATTCTGAAATTCAAAAATTGAAGCCGTGATTGCAGTCTCAGGTCGTTCCCATGAAATTAGAAAATTCGTATGTTTTCTATTTCTTAAACAGGGAACTTAAACATTAAGTTAACCCTATTCCAAATACGTTTTTAAAATATTGAAATGATGAAAATTATTGTTGTTTTTAAGCGTTTACTAGCAAGTGGGAACGACCAACATGGCCGCCATCTATTCAAATGGGGGTAACCGCTGGAATATTGTTGGCTTCAATTTTACTAAAAGAGATGCGCTATCTAGTGTATATAAGATATCTATGGTTCAGGGACGTCGTGAAGCCATCAACAATGGGGGAGGGGGGTGTCGTCATGTTTTGACCAACATTTCCTAGGATTTTGACCAAGTCGTACAAATTTTCCCCGAAAATGTTGTCGACGGGGGAGGGAGGTCCAAAAAATTTTCCGGACTAACATAACTATAGTCAAAAAAAATTTTCAGGACTAACATAAGCTTATTCAAAATTTTTCGACCAAGGTAAGCAAGGCTTGCAATTTTTCACCGCAAACATAACAAAAGCTTTAAATTTGTTAAAATTGCGAACCATTTCATAACTTTGAGCAACTTCGACCATCTTTTATCCCAAACATTGACCTAATTTTCCCTAGTTTTACCTTCAATTTTAAGCAAATCCACTCCATTTTGACCAACTTTGGCAAATATCAGTTCCATTTTGACCAACTTTGACCAACCTTTGAATTATTGGGTGGAGGAGATGTTACACCCCCACACCCCCTATAGCGACGTCCCTGAGTGTGTTGCTATGACAACCAAATAAATATTACAAAATGTTTGCGTAGGTGCACTTACCAATTTCGTTGAATCACGAGATATTAAACTTACTTCTTTTTGCTGCCTCTTATAAGCAAAACTGCGACATCACAACACAAAATACTAATTAGGGCCATTTATACGGAACAAAATAAGACGCGACTTACATAAGACGCGACTTAAATAAGACGCGAGTTTGTCGTATAAAAGGTACAAAATTCTTATGTAAGACGCGTCTTGGATAAGACGCGTCTTACATAAGAACAGGCCTTTTAGCTGTTCTTATCTAAGTCGCGTCTTAAATAAGAAATTTTGGACAAAAAGTTTAACTACACATGCCAGAAACTTGAAACAACGTAAAATTTTATGCCTTGCATATTAAAAAAAAACAACCGAAACAACATTATAGCTATAGCAAGTAAATAAGAATAAAGCCCTAGAGAACCATTTATGCGATAACTCCGCTTATTTAAGTCGCGTCTTATGTAAGTCGCGTCTTATTTTGTCTCGTATAAATGGCCCTAATGTCTGATAACTTGAGATGAGCTGCGAATAAATTGTTGAGGCGCCGCTATATTCTTCATAATTTTCAAGATACTTTCAAGTGATACATAAAAAGTGGGTGAACTATTTCGTGTTATGTACGCAATTTAACTATTTAAGTACTGGGAATATCGAGTGGATATTGTTTTTTTGTGTTTTCATGAAAGGTTAAAAAATTTATTTCGTAATCTAAAAATGCTTTCAGATGCTGAAGATCTGTATTTAAAAAATAATTCTTGTTTACTTATATTGTCTAAATTATTGAAGACATATATGTATTAGAACAAGTCTTGGTAGTTAATTTTACTTTACAATGCCTAAGACTTTTAACTCAAGCCCTAACGACACTCAAGGGCACTTTAAATTGCTTTCAAAGAACTGGAGAATTAATGAAAGTGAATATTTAAAAAATACTTGACGATATGTGTTTGAACAGTGCTTTGTCTTGGAAACGTCTATATCTTATATTTGCTTTTAGTTTGAAGTCTCTATCTTTATATTCACTTTCATTAACTGGAGAATTAATGAAAGTGAATATTTAAAAAATACTTGACGATATGTGTTTGAACAGTGCTTTGTCTTGGAAACGTCTATATCTTATATTTGCTTTTAGTTTGAAGTTAAAGAAATTCACTTGACTTAAATAAAACTCTCTCCTCTATAGAGTGAAAAGTACGACCGCTACCGCAGCTGTTTCTCGTCTCAAGCAAATATTCAACAGACACAGTTATCCCAACCTCGTACCCAAGGTTTCTCAATAGGCGCAGAAGCCCTGGGTACGAGGTTTGCAGTTGTCTGCATGCAACCCATTGACCTATAAATAAAGTGGAAGGCTAACTCTTATGATGAAGGCCTATGATTCGTTGAAGCCGACGCGCGGGAAAACCAGCTTTCAAAAGGACTAAGGAGAGTTTCGAGGAGTGAAAATATTCGATCAAAAGTTTGTTTTTGAGCAAAAATTTGCAAGAAAAACACTTTTTCCATGGGAATGACTGCAATGATTGGGATTCACACCAGGTTTTCCGATTAGTTCCGACCGTTTTACATCTCTCTGAAGCAAAGTTTGGACGTGCCGAAGGAAACCTCGCTCTTCAACTCGAAAAAAATATACTATAAAACATTTTGACAGTCCCAAAACTTAGTTTGTACTAAACCACAGGTATTGTTGTTTATCGGCCGAGCTTTTAGTCCTTGTTTTATTCTTTCTAAAACATGAATAAATTGACTTTTTCAAGTGATGTTATTTTCGTCTTTGCATCTTTGTTGGGCATTTGTATGAGCACTTTGAATATGGCAGCCAAGTTAGCTTTGATAATGCTTATTTTATGTGTTAAAAGTAAGTCGTGGGTACTTGAAAATAAATTTGCAAATGTATCTAATATTTTCCTACATAATTTGTATAAAAAAATCTCTAAAAACCAGTTTTTTGACAAATTTTGTTTTGGCCCTGTAATATTTTAGCAGTTGAACGGATGTTTGTTTATTGTAAGTACTTGAGTGAAAAGATTAACAGTCTTAGTATGCTCTAAAATGAAAAAGGAAAGGGCGAAAGGAAATTAATTAAAGGGGTAAAATTTATCGATATAAAAAGTGTAGTTTTTCAAGAAAAATTTGCAAAAAAGAACTGGCACTACCTACAAAACACGACTTCAATCCCCCCCGAATTAGTCTTCAAGCTAGAGTTTACTTATAGTTCAACGATACAACCTCGTACCCAGGCTCTTTCCACTAAGTTCCTCGCTTGAGGAAAGACCCTGTTCCGGGCTGGTTGCGTGTCTCCCAGAATTGGGAGATAACAAAATTTTTACATTTAAAGGGTTGGGCGCTAAGTTTATTTTACCGATCTAGCTGCCGATCAAGATGGCGATATCAATTCGATATTATAAAGTTCAGATTGGGTGTAATTTTAATGAATAGCAAAAGCTTGTGTTGCAAAATCAATGGGTGAGATGGGTTCGAAACAAACAGTCAATAAATTATATAGAACTTTGTATTATATTCGTTGTGGTTGCATGTACGACGTCGCGACTCGCTTCGCAAGGATTGCATAAAATGCTGGAGTCCTTCAGAGTCATATTGGGCAAAACCACAAGAAGTACTAGGAAGGATTAGTAATATACATAAGGACAAGCCAAGCAGAACGTTAACATTTGCCTAGCATGCAGTAGCAGCCAACAGCGAGTCGGTTGTAAATTGCCGTTAATTGTAATAATAGACAGTTTAAGATCTACGACGCGGCCGGCTCAACGACGCGGTCTGAATTTCAGCTAAAAAATGAACGCTAAGCAATTTCATTACTGTAATATATGTTCGACGCTTTTCAAATAACAGTACAAAACTGCTAAGTTTGACTAAAGCGATGCAATGTTTGCTGTAATTTCGACTTTAAGCATCACCTTTTGGGTCGCAATAAGCTTCGCGTTGCATGAAAGACGTGACAATGCTTAGTTCAACGTTCTGCTGAGCATGACAAAGCCGTTGAGGCTAGATACCCCTCATGGGACCACAAATTATTCACAGTTTTTGTCTTCCACGACAAATTTCCTTCTTTCGCAAGCGCGTCGTTGAGCCGGCCGCGTCGTAGATCTTAAACTCTCTAATGGCTCGACAACACGACACATGCATATAGAATAACAGTAAGAAATTTATAATATATTTTCCGAACACTATGAAGTATTGAAAGTATTTGTCATGGTAACACGATAATTTTATTAAGAACAGTTTTAAAGTTGAAAAATCCCCTAAAAATATCATTTTTAATTACAAAATGATCAATTTCCCAAACATATATATGCTAGGTATGCTATTATACATAATAGACGCTTCAATTTAATGTAAAATTCAACCACAAACGCTTCGCAAAACGTTTTTAAAAATGTTCTTAAAACTAAACTGCCTTTTTATCGGTAAACATTGAGTTTGAAATAAACTGATTTCAAATTCTCGTATGAAAATATCAAAATAACTTTGCTCCCTTCTTTTAGACGTTTTTGGGCTTCTTTTTATCAAAATGGTTTTGAAATTTACAAATTCTTGCAAAAATACAATATATTTGCAAGAAATGTTTGTTATTTCGTTGTCGTCATGCAGTCGTTATAATGCAATTTTCAAATTTGACCAATCAGTGTTCGCTATTCACGACAGTCCGCTACATATTTTGAGATCAGTGACGATGACCACCAATGAGCGGTGAACCATAGCCATGTGCCCGCGATATTTGATAAACTTTAGACGTCGCTAGTGCGTTCTTTTCCCCGGGTGTAAATAGCCGGGCGGAATTAATAACCTCGCCCCGGGCATACGCCCGGAACGGCGCTCCGTGCCGTTTGCTCGGGGATAAGGCGGAAAATCGAGATTTAAAAAGTGGTGGTGTTTGTAATACCATTCTCTCCAGCGTAAAAATTACTGCCGCTTGCGTTGCCATTTTTTATGCTCTCGTTTCCATCGTCGCCTAGAAGCACATCCAGATCAGTGGACGCGTGGTTTATCATTCCTGCACCATAAGCATCTCCCATGACGTTGTTGACAGTACAAATTCGGTCACTGTGGAAATAATCATGGCGTTATTTGAAAGTTTGTATAAAATAATAATACCAAAGAAAATATTATAAGAATATAGTTTATAATATTCCAAGGACAAGCCCTTCCTTGGGGCAAGTGTTGATGACCTTCGTCATTGTGAATGTGAGAAGGGATGCCCTGTAGCTGTTGTAGAATACAAATGTCCGTGGAAGCACAGAGATATTACCCCTAAGGAAGCTTTCCTGACTCCTGAAGTAGTTGGGCAACAGAAAGACAATCATTTTATATTAAAGAGAAATTGTCGATATTACTTCCAAGTACAGTTACAGATGTTTGTGTATAAGTTATGTTTGTGTGACTTTGTTATATGAACCAAGCTTGGCATATTTTCAGTTCAAATCCCATTTGACAAATTATTTATTTGGTCGGTTGTTGAAAGGCTTCAAGAGTTTTGGGTGAATCATGTTTTACCTTTTATGATGCCTCAGAATGGAATACAATGCAAGCATTTTATATATTACTTATTTTATCACATACAAGTCTGTAGATTTTCTATCTACATGTAAGTGGATACTATAATCATTTACCTCCAGTATCCTACTATAATCATTTACCTCCAGTACCCTGGATGTAGATTATTCAAACCAGGTAAAATACATATTGGGTCATTCCAGAAAACATCCATACCCTCCCCCCACGGAGGAAATAGGAAGTTAACCCTCTACCCTCTTTGGATGCCCTAATACATTTACTATTATCAGAAACAATTTTTCCTCCCCTCCTACGCTCCGGACGGCAGAAATTTCCTCCATGGGGGGAGTATGGATCTTTTCTGGAACGACCCATTATGTATACTGTGGATCTGCCATTGAATAAAATAGAGATAAATACAAAATAATACTGAAATTGTGTTACTTCAAATTTTCCAGCCAGTGTGTAGTTTTTTCCAATAATTTTTCAAATAGCCAAATTTAAATTATGGTTACCTGAGTCACTCACAGTGTGCATGCATAATGGAATAATGCGAATCTGAGTCCAGGACACTGTATGTATGGGATGACATAATAAATACAAGCCTAAACTTTTATTTGTACTTCGAACAGGTGAGAAACTCCCAGATTTATGTACTGGTAGTACTACTATAAAAGTCGATAAAAATCCTGTTACACATGAAGATCTCGATAAGTATGATCAAGGTATCAAAGATGGCACTGGTATCTGTGATGATACTGTTGACCCCCCTAAGATTAGTGTATCGGACTGCAGCATCTACCAGGCGTGCATTGATGGTCTTCAAGCAAACACAATGCTAAATGACAACATTGTTAATTACCTGATAGGGTAAGTTTACATTTGTTTGAAGCAAAAGTTCCTGTTGAGTCATTTTAATATAGAAGCCCATGCAAATGTACATACTGTACCTTTATACTAGTCATGATCCAGATTACTGTAAATTGTCTATGTATTGTAACAATAACCCACCATTGCCACAATTACATTAGATATACCCCAAATATGCCTAATTAGTTACAATAAATGTCCTGTCTAATGCCTGGCAAATGTTAACTTGGCTATTGATGGGTTAACAGTGTATACCTTTTATGAACATGTTCTTTAGGGAAACTCTATGTAATTTTCCTGTGGTGAGTACCTATTGGTACACTGTATTATGTGGTGAACAAGAAGGAAATATTAAGAAAACCAGGTACTGTATATATTATGCATGCATGGTCAACAGAACTACAGGTACACAATAGTTTGACCAGTATGCAGAGGTGCCGGAAGATTGATAATGGGGGGGGGGCAGATATTCATGTTCACAGGCTGTGATTTTAAAATCTAAATCTCAATTTTAAAAGAAATTAATTGGGCAGAAGACGAATATATGAATATCTGCCCCCCCCCAATTATCGATCTTCCGGGGGCTCTGCCAGTATGAGAATAAATTTTTGAATCAAAAAAGTACCTTAATGATAGTTTTAGATAGATATTTATTGCTTAGAGTAAAATAGTGTAACCTTTT